AGGAGTCTATTTCTCTCCTTCTCAGGGCCCCTTTATTCACAAGCTGAATGTGAAAAGTAAGAAACCCAGCTTGCTCAGACTTGACACTGTGCTAATTGTGTGTGGGGCGCTGTTATTTGAGAGGGTCGCCTGGATTCTCTCTTCTGAAGGACTTCACAGCTACCCAGCACCCTGTCACCTTCTCTATCCTTTGAGGAGGTCGTCACAGGCACGACACTTGGGTCTTTATTCCCGCTGTTTGTTTTGGGAGGTCCGTGGCATTTGCTTTTGGGGCTCATCTTCTTTCAACAGGGCACCTCCTCTCCTCCTCGCCATTATCTTCAGGAGGCACATTTCCATGTCAAAGCTCTCCCTTTGAAGGGAAGGCTTCTTTTTCTTCTCACCTCTTTCTTATTTGGGCCCAGCTCACCTTAACTCCATCCTTCCCAGTCCTGTTTCCCAGCAGCGGGAGCAGGAGTCAGAACCCGATTTAGAAATAGAAAGCACCTAGATAGCCACTTCCTTTCTGTGCAGGATAAGAACAGTTTAATGGCCCCCGAAAGACAGCAACTAGTTTTAAGGACTGATTGCTATCTTGCAGTGAACACGGAAATAAGAATCATTCTTTGGTGAAATGGTAAATTTTCTCAAAGAAAGATGAAAACACTAAGACCACTATACAAAGCTTGGCAAATCCCTCTGAGACTAAGGGAAGTAATTACCCCAAAGGAGCAGGTGTGGTTTAACCTGTCTTGAATCTATAGACTGCCCTGAATGTATTCATCTAACCAAATGAGTGTGTAACGCCACTGAGCACAAAGCAGGCTCTTCTGTTCCATGTTTCTATTCCTCTAGGCTTGGGGAACCTTGAGACACATTACTACTCACTTTGGGCAGAACTTTGGAACATATTTCTATTTAGTTCTTTTTAAATTGCCACAATTAGAAAGGCTTCTATAAATATTCCAGGGATTCATTTGGGAGTTTTCTGGGAAATTGATTAGCACTGCTTGAACCAAACGAAGACTTTTTCCTCATCTCATCAGGAGCCCGAGAAAATTTCTCATTGACCATGTACCCATGAGGAGCTCCAGTACATGTGCTGGTGTGGTACCAGAGCAAACAGAGAGCTGAGCTTTGGGTGACAGCAGTCCCCTTGGGTTGCACCACAATAAAAGTAGCCACCGAGTTAGAGTAAAAAAAATCATGGTCTTATTTCCTGTTTACTTCTGTCTGAGGAGTTCCCTTCCCTCTTCTGTGTTAGATCTGAGTCACCCAAAAATAATGGCATGCTTGGAGAGGCTTACTCTGTTCTTTCCCCAGGTATTTTACCCATGATCCCCTTCTTCTGGAATGCTTTCTTTCTTTGCCCCTGGCTGACTTCCATCTGGCTGAATCTTGTGTCCAATTAACTCACGAGTCCTCAACAACTCTGTTAAATGTACTTCCTGTGCACATCTGGCAGGATGGACAAATGAAACAATAATGAAGAGGTAAAAGTTTTAGAAAACCTTCCAATTCTTTATCTCTGTTCCCACTCACTCCCCTTTATCTGGTACTTAGAGGTACAAATATCCCCTTGTCTTTGATTTTTGAAAACATTGGCCTGCTTCTCTCTGCAACCACAACAAGAACCCCGGGCTAAAATTAATGAGTCTATAGTCATTAGGACTTAAGTGTCTCATATATATAAGGCAATTAAGGAAACAGAAAATTGTCTCATTAGAGAGGTCAACCTAGAACATTTCTTTCTAAAGACACACAGAAGGATGCAGAAATTTGGTTTTCAGATAGGTTTGTTTGTTTTTTGTACTTGAAGACAACAGCATCTCTCAGCTTTCTGTATAGTCATTTGTGAGCATGACCCAGTTGTATCATCTATGCAGGGTCTCACGCTCAAGCTGTTGGCTGAGCTGAGTTCTAATCTAGGGTCCTTTTACAAGCTCATTTAGTTTCATACAGCTTTAGGACTTTAAGTCCCTGCTCTTCTCTTATTATCTGAAAGAGGTGTTTCAAACTCCTATAGGTTAGTCCTAGGTCCTTCCCATGTGACTCTCTGTTTTCAAAGTCAGACATCTCTCTTGCTTTTCATACTTGAGAATCCTTTCACCAAGGGAACCCAGTCTCTTCTTAGTTTTTACTGACTAAGTAAGATGAGGTTAGCTGAGACCTGTGACTCAGTTATAGGTATATTGTCCATAGTATTCATTAGTATTTCTCATATTTCAGGGAAGAGGCCTATAGAAGAGCAGGGGTTGCCTCAACCATTTTGGAATTCTGTCTACTACAACACTCAATGGGTGGGTCAGAATAAGACAGATCTCATTCAATGGTTATAAAGTGTTACAAGGATACATAGAAGAACTTTTCTCTATGATGCAAGTGTCTAGCATATAGTTCAATTAATATTTGATATTCTGTAGGGAATCCATATATACTGATAGCACAATAATTCACTGGGCAGCATTACTTTATATAAGCTTTATATATTGAAAAAAAGATCACATTGATCCCCAAATCAGATAGTTTGATAACCTTCTGAGCAGCAGAAATGGATTCCAGGAGGAAATATAGGGTATGCATAGAGTAGATAATGGGTATTTATCCATCTGCTTATTTTGTGCCTTTCTGGGGAGAGAAGCCAGAGAGTTTTGAGATAAAACTCAACAGGAACAAGGAATTAGGCACAAGTTGCTTCTAGTCAGTCCATGTTTTTCTTATTTATAGGGGTTCTTGCAAGAGAACATTTAGATGGGTTATTAACTCCCCAATCAACACATTTCTATGAAAGAGATAATCTACTTTGCTAAATATTGCCCTGCTAACCTGCAAATGAGCAAGATCTATTCAGATGGGAGTTCAATACCCAGTTGGGTTGGAAATAACTTCTAGGGTCTAGCCGTCTATTTAATTATGGCCCCTGAAAGTGCTTCTGTGGATTCACCTGAGAAGAAGAAAAACAAAAGAGTCACTACTTCCTGGTTATGTAACGGCTTCGTTTGAAGCAACTTTGGAACTCTCTGGAGAGTTCTATTTAGAGATGTTCCCATTCCTGTTTCACAAATGGAAACAAGCCGAGGTGTTCTGAAGGAAATTGACTTGCCCAAAGTCTTAGGAAATCAGCTGAAGTACAGGAAAGTTACTGCAATATCCCCCAATAGTCCTTAAATGTCTAACGTGCACACAAGGAAGCTGGGTAGAAAGTTTACATTGCAATTCTGATCGAGATACCCACTGAATATGCTTTATTAGTAATCCTGTCATTGTTCTCAGAATTCCCCAGCGCTAACATTTTAAAATCTCCATTCTACAGAGAAAACCTAAATATTTTATAAAATGACTTAGTCACTGTAGATTCAGAGGAGCTCTGAATAAAGATGTATGTTTGAAGGTTTTAAGCTTAAAGAAATTGTTTTTTTTGCTTGATTGGTAAGTATAAAATTGAATTAGTCTTTCAAAATGATTTTGCGATTCTTTTAATCCTGCGCAGGAAGTGCCATATTATATACTTCCTCTGAAGTTCTCAGGAAGGAATATTTCAGACATAGTTACTTCTTATCTAAAGCCCAGTTCTAAGAACTCCAGAACTCTTGGGCACTGCTCACCACACTCTTACCAGTAAAGGAGAAGTCAGGGGATACCAAATACAACTAAAGGAAGCAAAGGGTAAGCCCAATTGCCTTCCAGCGTGCTATGCTTTAAGCTCCAGAGAAGAAGAAACAAAAGCTGGATCCTGTTAGGAAAGAATGAAGGGAGAGGGCAGGGATGGCCTGGAAATCCAGGCCATAGTCTGGCAACAGGTTTACAGTGCTTGTTCTGATGGTGGCCGTCAGTTCCCACTGGAATATCATTAATGCAGATACTTGGAGACATTTAAGAATGGCGATTCTATTACCCATTGATTTAACAGCAACGTAGTCCCCAAACTGACCACATGTCCTGTGGATGCTAGAGGTGGATGAGATAAGCCCCTAAGTTATGAATTTGCATGAGTTTTGGCAACACATTGCTATCAAAGTACAACAGTTTGGATATTTTCTGACATTAAGTAGGAAAACATAGAAGATTTTGAAATGGTGAGTTTTAAACTAGGAAACAACAGTAAAGTATCTAGAGGGGCAGAATATACCAAAGGAAACCCACAAACCGCAAGCTAAGATGCTGTTACCCTGTGGACTCACCAAGACAAAATACTTCCCCCTCAACAGGGACTGCTTTTAGCTCAGTACTGAATACCCACTGTACTAAAAATGGAGCCGATCTGTTTTCCAAGCTTTTGTTTTTCCTTTCTCGTCTGCTGCGGATCCGTGTGAGAAATGAGAACTCATTCTTTCCCGGATAATTGAGAACCGGAGGTTAGGCTCTTCTGAAGACTAGTTTCCAAACCTGGTGCCTTTGTTGCCTCCTGATGCTAGCACGTAAACATAATGGAAATCTAATCAAGCAAGCATGTCCTGGTTTAGAACTTTAAATGTGTCCATGAGAAAACCAACTGCTAATGTCATCACCTTGGAGGCATTAGAACCAGCTGCCAATAGACCAGCTTTTTATTTTGATTTTTTCCCCCTTCACTAGCCATTGGCTAGCTGCCAGCTTACAGCTTGTGATATAGCCCCCCCTCACGAATATTTATTTTATTTTATGTGTGTATGTGTGTGTGTACCGTATGTATGTGGGAACCCATAAAGATCCGAGAAAACAGTGGATTCCCCTGAAACTGGAGTTACAGACAGTTGTGAGATCAGGTGGGTGTTGGGCATCGACCCTGGGTCCTCTACAAGAGCAGGAAGTGCTCTTGACCTCTTAGCCAGCTCTCCAGCCCCCATGCCAGGTGTATGCTATTGCTGGATGAGGGAGTGCAGCAAACAGCCAGAAAACAGCTGGTCTCTTCAGTCATCCATAACACAGAGAGGGGCTGAGTGAATAAGGTGAGAAACTTGCTTTGTCTTGGCAGTTCCAGGTTCCAGGAATGGTGTCTTGGAATCAACAAACATCTGATATTAAGGTTCTGTGTTCTACATGTTCTAGAACACATTAGACATTGGCTTGCCTTTAGAAACTGGTGAAATTTTCAAGTAAGAGGTATTTAGCATGTTGGGATGTTTACGTAAGTGTATGGTCCATGCTAACTGTACTCCTTGTGTGGGTGAGTGTTTGCCATGATTTACATAGAACTTTTCCTTTTTAACAAGCAGGTCTCTGTTTAACCCTGGTCACCTTACCAAAGGATTTTTCTGGCTATCCTGCTCCGTCACTCCATAATTTGTTCTGTTTTTGTTCGATTGCTCCTGTCTACCTGGTGTTTTTTGTTTGTTTGTTTGTGATCTGTCTTCCACCTCTCATTTAAACGTGAAGTTCGTAGAAGCCGATTCCTTACCGACTCCTCGTGTCTAGTGCGTGTCCAGTCAGTGTTCATCCGTTTCTCAGCAGATGCTTGTGCAACGAAAGAATGAACCATGAACCATGTAGTTTATTGGTCCTCTACCAGAATTGCTTTCTTGGCTTCCTAAGGAAAATTGCTCGCTTAATAACATTCAGTCTCTCAGTCAGAAGTGGTGGCTCCCGCCTGAAATCTTAACAGTTGGGAAGAAAGCTCTAGAAGGCAGATCATGAGTTTGAGGCCAGCTGGGACACCATATATGAATTTGAGGCTAGCCTGGGCTACATAGTGAGACCCTGCCTCAAAAGTAAATACATGCATAAATAATTGTGCCTTTCCTAAACTTTCTTTTTACCAATGACATGGAGCTCACATAAGGCTTTTTCTGTGGCAAGAAAATTTTCTCTGAGGAAAGTAACAGAATTTACTTTTAAGTTAAATAAATGATACAGACAAGAGCTTACCTTTAAAAGTCTCTTGAGTTTATAGGATTTGGCTGAAATCATATAAAATGTATTATCATATCTAAGGCGGGAAAAGATAAGACAAGGTGTTGGTCAGCCATGAAAGCATTGAGAGAGAGAGAGAGAGAGAGAGAGAGAGAGAGAGAGAGAGAGAGAGAGGCAGAGAGAGACAGAGAGACACAGAAAGAGAGAATTGGATGCAACTGTCTTGTGTCTGCTTCTCTGTCCATGCATCCAAGTCCTCTGAGGTCCTGGAGGAGAAAGCATGGCTGACAATACTTCTGTAGATTGGTCACAGCTAGACATCTCAAGCTGGGGCAATCATTCATTTATTTCCTTAGCTTTTTCTATTCTCATTTCCCGACCACCAAACATTCATTGACTTGTGATCTGGCACATGTCAAGGTGTGTTTTCCATCAGACATGTACTAGTAGTTTGACCTTGAAGCCCTCTAGTCCCAGTGATGGCCATTGCCCTTCACACCTAATAAATTGCCATCAGGTTTATGTATCAACTCCATGAGCTTGGTAAATGTGAGTTGTTCCTGAAAGAGATGTGCTGACAATTCATATATCTGAGCTGGCAAGGTTCCCAGTAGCATGTTGGACCTTGATAAATTCACCAGAATGATGAATGAAGACCTTGCGAGGGGGGCATAAGCGCTGAGCCAAAATTTTTGCTTGAACTTTTGAATTAATGTCCATCTACTATCCATTAAATAGATTGGTTGCTTAACTGCAGGCAATGTTTTGAATCTCTCTATCTTAAAAGGATTGTTGCACTCAAAATCGCCATCCTCATCTGGGTTTCAGTGAGAGCAAGGAGTAATCTGGTCATGGATGTTTGCGACTGAGATCTCAGATTAGTCCTGTAAAACCCTTCTCCATGGACTGCCTTTAACAAAGCAGGCAGGAAGCTTCCCTTTCTTTGCCTGGGATATCCCCCACCCCCACCCCCCACCCCATGCCCCTGGGCTGAGTCTGAGCTCTCTCCACAGTTTAGGCCAAGTTCTCCAACAGGTCTTCTCCTCCGGAGGCTGAGGCCTGGGAGGCCAGGAGTACACATCACCTATGGATCCAGTTGTTCCTGGGGGTTTGGCTGTGTGAAGTAAGGATCAGATCTGGCAAAAGAGATCTGTGACTTGTTCCTTTGGCATCTCCAGTCAGTTGATTTCAGTAGCCTCCTGTCTACATTCAGATTTAGATCAGATCTCATCTGCACTGACATCTTATCTCTCACTCTATATGCATGTATATAAATTATATATTTCTTATGTCACAATAGAGTAACACACACACTTCTTATAAAGGATCTCATATAGCCCAGGTTAGCCTCAAATTTACTCTTTACCTGAATATGTTTTTGAATTCTAGATCCTTTTGTCTTAGCTTCTTAAGTTCTGGAATTATAGGCGTGTACCACCAAGACAGGCTTTAAAAGATGCATTCATTCAACAAATTGTCTTCTAAGAAGCCCAAAGTGGACTGTAGTACAGTTATTAGAGGGCTAGCCTAGCCTATACAAAGTCTTGGATTTGATTCCCAGCACCGAGTAAAAGCACACTGTGGTCCATGCCTGTGATTCAAACACTCATGAGGAGGAGGTCGAAAAATGAGAGGTGTAAGGTCATCCTTGGCTATATAATGAGTTTTGGGTTATCCTGGGCTAAAGGAGAATTTCTCTAAAAATAAAAAATAAAAAAGTCTAACAGCTAGGAAAAGAAGAGAGAGTGTGCCATTGCTATGGTTTTGAACAAGGTTTCTATTTTAGTTTTAAAAACAATTTATTGTTTATTATTGTAGGTGTCGGGGAGGACATGCCGTAGCATGGGTGCTGTGGGATGTTAATGTATGTCCTGTGGGAGCCCTTCTTGGGTCCCTTGTGGCGTTACCCAGCAGGTTTGCATAGAGGATGATTAGGACCATGGGCCTGAGTGCAGGTGTCTGAGATGGTCTGCACTTGGCTGTACTGGGGGATGGTCTGTATG